ATTACAGCTGCCTGTGAATCTTAGGATCCTTAGAACCACTCTGGGTTCCAATGACCTGTCACCAGAATCCCCATTTCCAGTTGTGACAACCAGAAACTGAGTCCAGACATAGCTGTGTCTCCCAGGAACAAAACAAAAAAAAAAAATCACTGTTGGCTTAGAACCCACAAGTTAACTTAGATGAGATCCTACAAGATGGCTTAAGTGATTGTTGAGATCCTACAAGATGGCTTAAGTGATTGTATGAAGGCTTTATATACATGAGTTAATCTTAGTAACAAATTCTTACGAATGCAGTTCATACTAATAGGGAAATGTTAGCATTCTAAAGGAGGGAAGACCTCAAGGCACACTATAACAAGAACACAGTGTTGATGCTTCATGACACCCTTAAGGTTTCCCATCCCAATGCCTTCAGGCCTGTGAAGGAAAGCAAAACCTCTCAAAAGTCCACTATTTCAGGATGAGACCAGTGACTGCTTCTGGTCCATTGTCTAAGAGACAATTTCTACCTTTGTGTCATCGATCCAATTAATTCTAAATGAAAACAAACTTGGGTAGTAAGTAAAAAAAAATAGGTTTAAGGCAGTGTTTTCAGATACAATCTTTCAAATACATACCACACAAACACATACACACAAGCACACACCACACACACACACACACCACTACACCACACATACACACACCACATACATTTTAGAGTCTTTAGAAAGCAGTTAGAGCTGGGCATGGGCACAGTGACACACCTTTAATCTCAGCACCTGAGAGGCAGAGAATTTCTTTGGCAAAACAGTGGAAATTTCTCTTTATTAAAAAAAAACAAACAAACAAACAGGAAGACTGAGGACTGTTGGGTGATATCAGGAATAAAGCCCAGGAAGACTGAGGACTGTTGGGTGATATCAGGAATAAAGCCCAGGTCCCACTCACACTACACAAATACTCTGCACTGAGTCACAATCCCAGTCCTCAAATCAATGTTAGTTCACACATTTTTCACGGTTATTGTATATAAGTCTGTGCTTTCAAACAGTTCCCGCTTTTACTCATGTTTCCAGTATCCCCTTAATAGTAAGTTGCCATACTCAGCATAAAACTGCTGCTTGACATCTAAAGTTAATTTTTATACAGTCCAATCAGCCTTACTTTTTATAATTTTCTCACTATTTTTATTCTTGGAAATTCTTTTCTATTTCAACATAGCTATTAATATGGTTTCAGTTCTTCTGCTGAAGACACCACACCTTTCAGACACAGGCCTTGAGGGAGGAGAGTTGGAACTGACCTGGAAGCTTCCTCCCCAAGAACTAGCTCCAGCATATCTGGAGATGCTGTGCAAGCTGCCAAGGGAAAAGAGAGATCAACAGTCCTAGCCAGCTATAAACTCAGGAACCTCAGTGATACCTTCCTGGCAAGGTGCCCCAGTGGTGTCATAATGGCACAGTGGCGCTTTTATCATGGGAATATCCGACATCTGTCTAATTGAACTTAGGGCCTACTCAATAGGAGGGAATGTACACTTAGTACTATAAACCTAGCCAAGTATCTATGGTTAGAGGTCTGAGACCCTAGGAGAATCCACAGTTGTCATTTTCCAAATCATTTCCAATCATATTCTAAATGCTTTTACTCTTATACCCAAAGGTGGGTGTAACTCTCACATCTCACACTAGAGACTACTACAGAGACACACAACTGGACAACATGCAGAGAACAAGTGACCATGGGTGCTGAGTCCCAACTGGTTTTCCTACAACGTAACTCCTGCTCCTAAGGCTCAGGAAGATCATGGAAGAGGGGAAGAAAGAGTTTGAGAGCCAGAGGACCCAGAACACCTGTTGCTAGTATCTTCTAGACATGACAGAAAAACTGTCCCCATGAAATCTCAACCATAGAGTTACCTAAACAAGACCTGCATGATGACACCACCAGCTGACATGCTGATGAGGATGAGAGAAATTTCACAAAGCCCCATCTCTCAATGAAGAGAAGAGCCATAGGCAACCAATGTGGCTAAAAGAGGGGGAATCCATTTCCCCCAAGGACAAGCATCCACATAGGTTATCCAATCCAAAGTGGTCAGCCCTTAACACATGTACAACATGCACATATGAGAACACTAAATGGATTTGGTAGGCTGTGTGTGGAGGGTATGTGGCCACAATAATTATAGAAGTAGTCACGAATCTAAGAGGTAGTGTGGGCAGGGGACACAAGAAGAATTAGAGGGGAGAAGAGATGGAAATGGTGCAAATAAACAGTGCTTATGTAAGAAATTCTCCCCCCCAAAGAAATTTTACTTAAAAAAATGACATTTCAAAATGTAAAACCTTTTTGAAAAGATTCTTTTGGCTAACTACTAAAATTTAAATATTTACTACTCCCATTTGATGTTCAGTTACTTTGTTTCACTTACATATTCCATGAATGTCATTCATTTGGAGATTTCTAAATCTGAGTTCTCATTTTAGAAATCTCATCTGTAATTACTGTTGTCTGACATCGTTCTATGGTATTCAGTGTGTGTGTGTGTGTGTGTGTGTGTGTGTGTGTGTGTGTGTGTGTGTGTAGAAGGTTGATAGGGTATCTTGCTATTTAACACAAGCTGGCCTCAAACTCATGACATAAGCTCAGGCTGGCCTCGAACTTGTGATCTACCTGCCTCAGCTGCCCAGGTGCTGGGATTACAGGCATGTGCCATCACAACCAGCTATGCCATATTTTTATGGTTTTCTAACTTGGCATTATTTAGGTTATTTTTTCTTTTGGTTATATATGTTAAATATTTGTCTCTTTCCTTCCTGCCTTTCCTGTGCCAACCACAACCATCTTTCTAATTCATCTTATCCTGTTTTTTTTTTTATGGTGGGATATTTGTACACTGTGTGAAGGTATATTGCTATAAATGGCACAATAAAAAATTAAATGGCCAATAGTTAGGCAGGCGGTACAAGTGGAATTTCTGGGGAGAGAAAGGAAAGGAGGAATCTAGGCATGGGGAGATGCCAGGAGACTTGATAGGGAAACGGGAGGTGCAAGATGGGAGGGAAGTTATGCCATGTGATGGAATGGATATTAATATAAATGGGCTGATTCAAGTTATAAGAGCTAGTTAGGAACAAGCCTAAACTGTGGCCGAGCTTTCATACTAAGAAGTCTCTGCATCATTATTTGGGAGCTGGTTGGTGGCCCCAAGAAAAACTCGACTACATTTTCCTGTGGCCTGACTTATGTTCACATACATGTCAAGTAAGTCTTAGGTTGCTTTGTGTTATACTGTGCTGGGCATCAGTTCTTTTGTACAGGTGTCTGTGGAGCTACCTGATCATTAACTACAGCATTTTACTCTTACTATATTCTGCTATGGCCTCAGATCTGTTATTATTTCCTTAGTTTCCTGGGTTATTTTGTTTTGGGTTTTTGTTGTTGCTGCTGCTGCTGCTTGCTTCTCTTTTTGTTTTGTTTGGAGACAGTTTCATTGTGTCCTGAGTGCAAGGATTAAAGGTGATGCCATCACACCTTGATGGGAGATGCCATTCTGTAAATCTGTCTCTTATTGGTTGTCAATAAAGCACTGTTGGCCAATAGGGAAGCAAGATAGGTGGGACTAGAAGTTGAGGAGGACTCTGGGGAGGAGAAACACAGGGAGTCAAGATGTAGCTGCCATAGGGGTAAGAAGTCCGCACCCTTTTCTCTGGTAAGAGAAATACTTAGATTAACAATTATGGAGTAAATACTTAAATCAGAGCTAGCCAGTAAGAAACAAGCAAGGCCAACAGCTTCATAATTAATTCAGCGTCTTGTGTGTTATTTGGGAACTACAACGCGGCAGAGCCCAGGCGACTGGTGGGGAAAAACCAAAGCGGCTGGTGGGGGAAAAGGCTTCACTCAACACCACCTGCCCTTTCTTATTTATTTTTGGTACTGAGGACTGAACCCTGGGCCTTGAGCATACACCACCACCCCCCACACCGAGCTAACTCCCAAGCCCTAGAACCTATATTGCAGTTTTGATGAAATAACGCAGTAAGCACCCTAGTCATAGGATCTGGTCTTAGACCATTGGATGCTTTGTCATGCTTTCTGGAAGATACTTCTCTGATGGCCTATGAAGTGCGATTTCTCAGCTTTACAGAGCCAAAAATTTCAAAACAAGGAATGCTGAGCAAAGAAACAAAATGAAGAAATTTAGTATTAAAAACTAAAATTTTAATGCAATGTAAATAATTTAGTTGTATGCAATTTGGGAGAACACACTTTGGAAGCCCATTTGTCTTTAAGAATAATTAACTTCCGGCAAAACTAAACTTTCACATCACTATTCACGATGTTTTTATTCCATGCCCAAGTTTTCAGAGCACATTAGATTCTTTGATACATTATTCCCATAATTCTACTTACATATTTCCAGCCAACTACTCACTTTTCAGAAATGCTGACTAACCGCCTCTATTGTTCTTGAAGAAATGTATGTGGACATTCCTGTAACAATACTTCCTTTTGAAATGCATTTTCCATATTACACATAATGGAGGAAAAATGTTAAATATCTTTAATTTTTATTTCTGTGATACACAAACAAACACTAATTATTCCTGGATAACATCTCATTTAGCCTAGGCACCACCTCAACTTTTCCTTGGAAATTCATATCTTTCCTTCTACAAAGTGAAGATTACAAGGATTGAGATACCTGGAAAAGTGAGAGGCCCTAACACCTTTCTTGCCAAAGGCTAACTCATATATACATACTCCTTATGCAAACTTGCTAGGATTACTTCCAGGAGACCACTACATTCTGTTGTTGAATATACAATTGCAGCAGCACAAGAAGTGGACAGGCTGAATACCTTGAATGCTAGCACTTGGGAGGACAGGGGGCCCCAAGTTCAAGCTAGGCCTGTACCACACAGCAGCTTCCAGACAACATGAGCAAAGATAATCATCAGGCAAACTAAAGAAGGCAAGGTGGTCGGCCGTAGGAAGAAGCCCCTTACCTGCTTTCCATCCAGGGTGCACAGCCTCTTGACCACGCCAGAGTCTAGTTTAATGGCTTCGGTGATATCCGTTAGGACCTGCTCAAAGGAATGGGCAGTCTTTTTATTCAGAAGGATCCGCACGGCCTTCCTAGGCTTCACTCCGCTTCGAATCACAGTCACTAGCTTGGGTTTGATGAAATCCTTGCTTTCTTTCGCCTCGCTTCTCACAGAGGCCACGGCCAAGGCTCGGCTTGTGCCTCCCTTGATGTTCACAGACCAGTTCGGATTAACGTTTTTGGTGTAATCAACTTTACGAAACGGTTCATTGGAGGCACACACGTAACTCTCTCCTAAAAAGCGAATATTAATTTTATTAGCACAGTATCAGATATCTGAGCATTGGCCATAGTAAGCATGGATGTATTATCTAAGCAACAGCTCCTGGAAACCTGGAGTCAGCTCCTAAACTTGTGGTCACAGAAAGGGGGTGTAGTACAATGTCCTTTTCCTTTAAAATTCTCCCACCTCCCCGTCTTCCAAATTACCTAGACTGGTTTTCAGAGAATGGCAGGTATAATGTGAAAAGCACTAAGAGAGATCTGGATTTTATTTTACCCAAATATTTCACCTTTGGTAAGTCATTACTCCCCACTTTGAGTCTCGGTATCATTAGCTGCAGAATTAATGGACCAAGTAACTAAATTACAAAGTACTTCCTAATTCCAAAAACAAATTTATTCTTCATACAATCTCATTCTGATCAGCCATGCTGATATGGTACAATCCTGCAATCCTAGCTACTCAGAAGATAAAGTGGAAAGATTGTGAGCTCGAGGCCAGCCTGAGCTACATACTGAGAAGGGAGGGGGAATCCCACCGGGTATGGTAGCTCATGCTATAGTCCTCGGAGCAAGAGGCTGAGGTAGGAGGATTGCCACAAAGTTTAAGGAACTCTTATGCAGGGGGTCTCATGCCACTCTAGGCTACACAGTAAGACCCTCTCAAAAATAAACAGTTCATTCTGGGGTAGTAGATTAGTATTTATCCCTGGCATACAAATAGACTTTGAGTGCCCATCTCACAATGAGGGATGCTCTCTCAGCCTGGACTCTTGGGGTAGGGCCTAGGCCCTGCCCAGGATGAAATGACAGACTATGGACACTCTCCCTGGGGAAAGGATTGGGGATTGGGGGAGGGGGTTAATGGGAGAGGAAGAGGGAGCTGGGATTGACATGTGAAGCAACCTTGTTTCCAATTTAAATTTTTTAAAAAAGACAAAAAAAAAAAAGATGCTGCCTGGAGGTTGCTTGGGGTCTTCCTCCAGCCATCTGCCATGGTGGAGGGATGAAGGGCCCCAGCTAATGGGTTTAGCTCATTAAATAACTTCAATAAAAGACTCCTTGCCTTTGCATAAAAAAACCAGTTCATTCTGATTGAAATAACTGTATCACAAATATATTCATAAAAAACAATTAAGATCCTTCTAATTTCAGTCCTACTCAAACAGCAATCACTACATCATTACACAGCTGGCTTAATTACATCCAGTTGTATCATCGTTCAATTACTGAAGCACTGGAAAGTAAAGATTTGCCTCCTCAAAAAGTATCATACTAACAGCACTGTTTAGTCTGAAGGATATAAATTTAAAATAAAACTATAACTTCAAATAGACAACCTTTTCTTTGTCTTCTTAAATGGGAGCAGATATTAAGTTAAAATGCTATAGTAATTTCTCACAAAGCTTAATCAGGTTTTTGTTTAATTAAGAAAAGCACTTGTCTATTCATTTATCAGTATCTAATTTTTTTACATTCCAAAAACTTCTAAAATTCCTACTGGAAAGCTGTTATTTTTCAAAAAAAATATGTAACTTACTCAATTCTTTTGGTATTGACTTTCTGACATGCAAGGTTGTATGCTAAGATTTTCTCTGAGCTACAATTCATAAAAACACATTATTTCATATATTTAGTACAAACAGATTCATTCTTCATTAGTGAAAAAGGAAGCCTGAGGACAAACTACTAATGTCAACATTCGCTATTATAAAAATGTTCTGGCCAGGCGGTGGTGGCGCACGCCTTTAAGCCCAGCACTCGGGAGGCAGAGGCAGGCGGATCTCTGTGAGTTCAAGGCTGGGCTGGACCAACAGCCTCCAAAACAATACAGAGAAACCCTGTCTCGTAAAACCAAAAAAAAAAAAAAAAAAAGTTCTGAGTCCTGATTAATGGAGACCCTCAGAGAGTCCCAAAGGCACCTGCACAGTTGTAAAAAGGATGTGCTCATGACATATAAGTGCTCATGACATGCAATGTCTTCTTTTTAGAGGGACAGTTAGAGCCCTGCTGGGAGAAGCAGGGAACCAATCCGAAGCTGTAGCACCCTTTCTACAGCAGCACCCTTTCTACAGCAGCGCCCTGAAAGTTATCCCACCCACGGTCTCACCTCCACAGAATCATTGTCACAGTATGATCATAAGAAAACTGCATGGAATTTCAAAAAGTTATCAGATTAACAGAGATATGCAATGCACACATATGTATTAGTGAGAAAACCATAATGGTGACACCATTTAATTTTATAGAAAAAAAAGTAATGGTCATATCAAAACAATTCTTGCCATTTTTATGCATGATGAAAATTTGGTGAATGTTCTGACCCAACATGTGTAACAGAGGAATACATAAAAAATAACCTTAGTAAGAGAAGGTATTTGTTTCTTAAGACAGAGAGATGGTGAGTAAGTCTGTGGCAATCCCTTATAACACGGTAAAAAGAAAAGCAGGCAAGTAGATCTACTGTGTCAACCTCCCTCAATCAACCCGCCCCAGCACAACTGACACACCAGCCAGCAGACACAGTTTTCATCTTAAGTCTCCATTGTCTTCTACACATGGGCTCAGAAGAACAGCAAGCCCCTTCATTTGCTTGTGCAGTTACAGGTATTTATAACTCTCCCACCCTTTCCCTACTAGAAACACTGAGATCAGTTCTGTAATTTGGAAAGAATAGTCAAGGTGTCCATAGAATAGAGCCCAACACTTTCCTGGTACACAAATGTATACACACAGACACACACACACACACACACACACACACACAGAGACACACACAGTTTTCTGCACACACTGAGTTTACAAACTATTGATTTCTCAGTCATTCTTTAACTGGTTAAGAAAGAGTTTCTTTAAAAAGTAGGTGATTTTGTTCCTTAAGCAGACACAAGTCTCACCATAGTTCATCTGAAACAGTCCCTAGTAGATGGGATATGAACACATAGGTAAGGTTTTTACTTTCCTTAGTCATTCTGAAAACAAACCCTTGTTACAAACTAGCACTAGAGCAGTGGATCCCAACCTTCCTAATGCTGTGACCCTTTCATACAGCTCCTTATGTTATGGTGACCCCCACACACACCATAAAATTATTTTCGCTGCTACTTCATAACTAATTTTGCTGTTTCGCTACGGCTGTGAGTCATAAGTAAATACCTGTGAAACGGCTATTCGGAAACCCACAGGTTGAGAACTGCTGACCTAAACACTTCTCCAATACCCTTTTCTTTTTAAAAATCTGTCGCTAGGATTCTGGGTGCTAGGCTGGTTGGTTGAGGGGTAAGTGTGAGTATCTCTTCCTCCTCCTCTTCAAGTAAAAGCTTTAGTTTTCCACTATTGAGAACGATGTCGGCTGGGGGATAGCTACATGTGGATCTTGCAAAGTGGGAGCTTCATACACCAGCAGTTTTAGACTACTTTTGTGGTAGTGAATACAGTCTCTCACATTGTCATAATTAATTGTCTAATGCCACTAACTAGTTTATAAATAATCCTGGTGTTCACGTCAGGGATTCCATGATATAAAATCTGGACCCTGAGATTACTCCTCACTCTTACAGTAGGAGCAGGCAGACAACTTTATGAAGAAAACAAAACCCAATTAAGCCTGAAGCGCACTGACTCTTCATGCCTAGAGAAAATGACATATATATTGACAGACAAAGCAATGCAGAAAAAAACATGGAAAGGCAATTAAGGTTTAAGATCAGTAAATCTTAGGAATTTCAAGGACTAAGGATGTTTTCTTAATTTCCAGGACTAAGGAAAAATTTCTCCAAAAGAATGCGACCAAGGAAAACCACATTCAGGTACATTTGCTCTTCCTAAGAACATTTGTGAGCTCCTGGGTGCACTGTAGTCTAATGTGTTCATATCCCTCAGAAGATGAGTCTCCCACATAGCTGCTTAAGAAAAACACAGAGTAGGAAAAAGTAAGGCTGTTTCATTAGTTTACTGTGTTGAACAATTTAATTGAGTTTTGTAACCAAACTATACACTGGAAAGAATTAAGAAGCATAGGAGCCAGCAAAGTAACACAAACTCCCCTGCTCTGACTGGGCTACTGTGTGCACTCTACCCTTGTGATGCCTCCAGAGCACCCCCCCCCATGCCTTCATCTACTGCGGACACAAAATGAGGTGGGTGACCTCTAGGACCACATTCTTTCCATGCTTCCGAAAGCTAAGCAAAGTCCTCTCCTGAAGCTACATCCAACCATCAGGAAGTACAGAAATGCTACTGTGGACACTGCTGTGAAGACAGCGGTGTGTCATACACTGAGGGTCCTGAAGAGAGACCTAGGAGTTTCTCTGAAGACCTAAGAAGTTAGCTAAATGTGAAAACAGAAACCCTATCAATGAGGCAGAAAATGGACCTCATGTGATAGAGTAAACCAACAGATCCATGGTCTGCCTTCAACTCCTCATACCTGGTCAAGTATAAGCCATCCTTAGAGTTCACAATGGGGATTTTAATCTTGTGCTGATTTTTATTATAAAATGCATTCATCACTCCATTGTGGAATACACATCTAACTATTTCTAAATGAAGCAGAGTCATACAACTCCATGCCCAAAATTCCAACTGGTTAGGCACAAAATATATAACTTGGCCAGGAGTTAGTCAGAGAAATAAGATAATACCTAATATAAAGGCATAAAGGCCAGCGGACATGCACTTACCAGGAACGGAAGCTAGTTAAGAATCCATAGCTGGCTTGGAGCACTGCACTGTGGAGCACATTACGTCAATTCCACACACCAGCTCAGCATCGAGTGCTGAAGAGGTACTGGGAATGGCCGTTTAGTCGACACAAACGGTGCCTGCAGCGTTCTATTGCTAGCTTAACATTTTCACAGGCCAAGAAGGTTTGCCAGTTCTTTCACGGCCACTGTGCTTAGACCGCATTGGAACATGGAACCTTTGCATGCCCTGCCTTTATAAATATCCTTAAGTTACAATATAGTTAACACTGAGCTTCTATGATTCGGATGCTAGATTTTTATACTGAT